GGTTCTTAGCATCACAATCATTATGTGAGGTAGAGGGCCACCACGCTCTGTGGTGTACATGCATCTCAGACGAAGGAGAGTTTTATTACTTTTTTTACCTGACTTAAGTAGTTATCCATTTTTTATAGCAGAATTATTATTATATGAATGAAATACAATTTCTTTTTCCACAAGAGCATCTGTCTGCTACATTAATTTGAACCTTGGACCTCTGTATAATGTCCACTGTGCCATTAGTCGGTGTCCACTGTGCCACTAGTCGGTATCCACTGTGCCACTAGTCGGTGGTGTCCACTGTGCCACTAGTCGGTATCCACTGTGCCACTAGTCGGTGTCCACTGTGCCACTAGTCGGTGTCCACTGTGCCACTAGTCAGTAAAAGGTTGATAACCCCACCCCGATCGTCTTTGGAAAATTACTTCAAATAACAATAGAAAAATAGTGCGACTCTCCAACTTAATAAGACAAAACTTGAAAGGACCTGTTACAGGAACAAAAGAATTTTGCCCACAAAGCAATTTAACCACTACTGGGTTATATTTGTAGCTCCCTAAGACATGACCCATGAGATATTTTTTAAAAATTAAAAAGGTCCCCAGGGCCTGTGCTATGAACTATTTAGTGCCGCCTTCCAAAGGTGTACGACAGGGTTCACTTTTTTGTCCAAAAAACTATCAAAACAATGTTTTACCTACCAAATAATATTATATTATTTAAAATAGGATCTGCTGCAAATTATGAACACAAATATGTAACAAAACATTGCATAATAAAAAAGTTATAAAATCTTAAACTCTAAAAATGTTGATATTTTCATACACTTTTTTGCTACATCAATTGTTTTACGGAAGTAAAACACCAATTTCCGGTTCTTGTACACCAAAAATCTTTTCATATTATTTGGTGCATTATGTTGAGATACGATAGTGAAAGTTTCAGAAAATTTGAGAACCGGTAAATTTGTCATATAAATGTCAAATTGTAGCAACGTCTATTTCCAAATAAAATCCAACAACCTTATGACCTATAGTCATGTTTGATAATTTAACAATACGTCGCACCAATTTATTATCGCAACTGATCAAATTTTCATCAATAAGGTCTGCTGCTCATGATGAGCCCAACTATAAAGCTAGATGTTGCAAAATAAAAAAGTTATGCAGTCTCACACACATAAAAGTTTAGTATGTTATG